ATTGTTGTTTGGCGGGTCCGGGCTGGGGATTCGAACCCGCCACCTTAGGTGTACGTGGCTGGCGCCTTAGCCGGTTGAGCTATAGGCGCCGAGCCGATGGGGGCAGTCTTACTGGGGACTGTGCCCTTATCCTGTGGAGTCTGACATTAATTGCAGAAGTGTGCGGGGGGAGTGTTAGGGCCAGAATTAAATTGTCCGCCAGCTGGTGTCAGAATAAGCTGGGTCTAGAAATAGTTACGGGGTTCGTTTGGGGAATGGGGATGGAATTGAGAGTGAAGAGGCTTAGGGAGTGAGAGTGGGGGTAGGGTGGATGGGGTTGGAGATGGGAGTGAGGAGGGGCAGGGGAGGGTGGGCCCACTCACTTGAGGCAAAGAACATGATGCCGGCAGAGAAGGGCCGGGACAGGCGAGTGAAGGTGGGCTGCTGAGCGAAGGCCAGGATGCCCATGATGATGCCAGAGGTGGCGCACAGGGCAGACAGGATCATGAAGGCCCGGGTGGCATTCCAGTATGCTGTGAGAGCACCCCACAGTCACGCCCATGCCTTCCCTGGTCTCAGTGAGAAGCTGCTGCTTCTGGGATGAAAATGCCTTGGCCTTCTTGATATCTTTGACCCAGTCCCTCCCTCACATCTTTGCAAATGCCTTTATTTTCAACCGACAAACTCCTACTCATCCTCCAAAACCCATCTGCCAAGACCTCACCTCTAGGAAGTATCACTCAACCCCACAGACATCATCTTCTCCCCCACCCCCACCACTTGGGGTGGTGATTCTGCTTGTCTAACCTCAGCCTGATCACACCCTGAGGACAGAGTCTCATGAACATCCTTACCACAGGTTTGGTTTGCACATTGGCCTAGAACAGTTGTTCTCAACTGTGGGTCGTGACTACAGGAACTGTATTAAAGGGCTGCAGCATTAGGAAGGTTGAGAACCACTGGGAAGAATGTTTATTGAATGAATAAGTAAATGAATAAATGAACGCTGATCCCTTATATCCTCTTGGTAGTCACTATCCTCTCATTCACTGTTCTCTTCCATTTCCTTCATACCACTTATGCCTGAAAACATCCTGTTTGTTTTTAATTTCCTTAAAATGTCTGCCCCTTCCCTCTAAATTCTCAGCTCTGTGAGGACAAGGCCCTTTCAACCTCTTTCAGTGCTGTATCCCCAGCACCCAGCCCCTGGCACATAATAGGTGTTCAGTAAACATGTTGGATGAAGGGATGGTGAGCAGTGGACCACTCTTCTGTGCTCCATCCAGGACAGGCCCTTACAAGATGCTGTGGGAATAAGAATCAGAATCTCATCCTCCACTTAGCAACTGCCACCTATGTGCCAGGCTTATCTCCCAAATAGGATCTTATTTATTTCTTATACCAGCCCTACGCTCTAAGTACTATTTTATTATTTATTTATAGCTTTTTTTGAGACAGATTCTCAAGCCTTTGCCCTGGGAAGAGTGCCATGGCATCATCATAGCTCACAGCAACCTCCAACTCTTGGGCTCAAGTGATCTTCTTGTGGCAAGTTTTTCTATTTGTAGTAGACAGAGGGTCTCCCTCTTGCTCAGGCTAGTCTCAAACCTAAGTACTATTTTAATTCATATTTTACAGGTGATGAAACTGGGGCTCAGAGAAGTAAAGTGACTTGCCCAAGGTGCCATAATTAGAAGCAGGGCAGAGTTGAAACCCTAACTCCAACACCCACACTCTTAACTGCTTGGCTCTGCTGGTCTCTTGGAGCACCCAGGACAATTGAACTCCTCAGACAGAACTTGGATGCTCCTATGGAAAAGTAAAAAGCCAGACTGAGCAGGAGTGAGACTCAGTCTCTACTAAAACTAGAAAAACTAGCCAAGCATTGTGGTAGGTGCTTGTAGTCCCAGCCATTTGGGAGGCCGAGGCAAGAGGATCGCTTGAGCCTAGGAATTTGAGGTTGCTGTGAGCCATGTGAGCCATGATACCACAGCATTCTACCCAAGGTGACAGAGTGAAACTCTGTCTCAAAAAAAAAAAAGAGAGAGG